AAAAAAAAAAAAAAAAAAAGCCGGAGACAATATTTGGCCTGAAAAGGCCAGAATATTTGCTATCTGGCCATTTTGCTATGTTTTGGACTCATCCACACAGACACAGATTATGGGATATTACTACAAGCCTGCCTTTTTTCAGAACAATGCACGTCAAGAACTAAAGAAGGGATATTAACAAAAATGTTTTAAGCAAGCATTTCCCACCACTTCAACCACAAAACTTTCAGAAGATCTAGGGTGGGGGAAACCCAAACCTCTATGCTTAAGAGAAGCATAATTAACAAGGGCTAACATTCACTGAGCATTCACTAAGTGCCAGGAAGTAATCTAAGATTGCTCTACAGTCTTATTTGCCACAGTTTACAGCTATAGAGACCCAGGGCAAGGATGAATACCTGCCAGAAGTTATATGGCTAGTCATTGGCAGTTTTAAGGTTTGAACCTGGACCACAAGCTCTGTAAGCAATATATGTCCTCATCTCTATTATGATGGGAAAGATCCTAGAAAGGGTGAGGAGAAATCAATCTTTGAAGCTTGTAAGAGGTAACACCAAGTAGTCTCTAAAACTAAGAGCCACTAAAGAATTTCTAGACTCCTCTATTAGAGGACTCTGGCCCGCAGGTCAGAATGGCCTTTTTTTCTTTTCTTTTTTCCAGAACGGTCTTTCTTGTCAATTCCCCGACATTCCAAAAAGTTTTAGGAGCCTGTAGCTGGGATGTCAGCCTCTCTGGAGGGGCAAACCCCAAATACGGGAAAGAATATAAGGCCCAGATGGCTGACCAGTCTGAGAACACTCGAGAAAAACTGCAACCTCATGGGAATTAGGATTTGTAATCAAAACAAGCAAATAAACAATTATAGTCCTATGTGAAAAGCACAAGGTTTTTCAAAAAAAAAAAAAGTAATTGGACAAATTTAATAGACACAACAAATTTATTAGGAAACCCATTATTTTTGTGGAAACTAGTAACAGCTTTAAAATCTTAGTTCCGTCTGATTCCTTTTGAAAAAAACAACCCAAAAATCCTCACAACCCAGCTTCACACTGAGAAGCACAATTTTAAAACAAGGAAATACCTTATGCTTTTTAGAGCTCCTGAGAACTCATACATGGATAAAACCGAAGAGACTATTCTTGTCAAACATCACGTTGAAACCTTTTTAAGCATGGAGGGTACTACATGTTCTGTGTCTCCGAGTAAGAGAAGCAAATTGAGGCCCATTCCTGATGTAAAAGCACTGGGGGTCACTTGGCAAAAGTAAATAAGCGGTTCTTGCCAACTGCACAATGCACAGAAACCTGAACTCAACTTTAAAACTTTCTTTCCTTCAATCACTTCACGTGGCCCAGAACAGCTCATTTCCAGGATGGCTGGTTCGTTTCAACATATTCAAACAGCTCCTTTGTGCTAAATACCAGGAGGGGTCAGCCAGTGCGAAACCTCCCGATGCACAGCACAGCCACCTCCTGCAGTCTTCGGGTACACACGCCTGGTGTGGCCCAGGAGCTATTGGAAACCGCCCCGTGTTGTTCCCGAGCCTACCGTATATTCCCTACAAGTTTAACAGCTCTTTTCTGGTGACAATGGAGGGGCTCTGAAAAGAGCCTTTGGGGTAGGGTGTACGGAGAACGCTACAAAGCTTTATGCCCGCTCCCCACGGATGCGGCGCGCCAGCTGGATGTCCTTGGGCATGATGGTGAC